CCTGTGTCTTTGGACTTCCTGGATCTGGCCTGGGTAGGGATTGTGGTAGTCGGAGAGCCATCGGAATAGAGTCTCAGGGAGTGCCTCCACCTGGACCTTTCCACCTTCTTCCGTGCGAGTGTGGTGCACCTGCAGGACGAGTGTAGCTAGGTAAGCAGCCTTCTCTAATGAAGAGGCGTGCGGTCCGGGGCCAATCTCCGCAGCATGCTCCTCATCGGACTGAGGCATTTTGCCAACGTATTCTTGCCATAATGAAGTTAACTGGCCGGTAACAGTTGCCAATGCGCTGTCCAATCTCTCCTCGTCGTCCTCCGGACCGACACCTTCGCTATACAGCCGCGCGACCAGCGACTCGCTGGCGAGGATCAACTCCGGGGGCTCTGTGACTGGTGCATAGCTTGCCTGGCTGTAGAAGTCCTTGGCAATGGACGCGCACTTGAACTCATGTCGCCGGGCTCCCGAGCGCATGGCGGACGCGCGAAAGATGTCTTCTGCCTCCTTCCGCACACGGTCGTTCGCGGCGGGAGTCGCAAGCATCATCAGATCGGAGCCATCGCCGAGAAATTCGTTATCTAGTGGCGCATCTTGGTCCATGTCGAGCCACATGTCTCCGGTAGGATCGCCCTCTGCGTCTTCGTCATCGTAATCCTCCATAAAAGCGTTCGCTCGGCCTCCTGAGCCTCTGGTTGGTTCGTCGACTTCAATATCGTCATCTGTCGCATCGTAGGTCATTCCAAAGGCGCCATGTCGGCTGTTTGTCGGCAGCTCTTCCTCTTCCACTTCTTCGTCTTCTTCCTCGTCCTCCTCGTCGTCTTCATCGTCGTATGCGTGTTCCTCTCTCAGCCTCGACGGTTGCCGAGCGCTCGTTGAACGAACGGACCGGCCCAGGGGTGAGTTGGACTCGCGGGCGAATGGATTCTTCGACTTCGATGATCCCGTAGCTTTCTGGCCACCGAAGCTGGAAGGTTTCTGAGCCGTCATTCCCTTCATAAGGGAACTGCCCAGGTATGACGCGGATGGCGCGCCAGCGGGGGTGAAGCTTGCGGCGGACGAAGGAGGAGGGCCTGCTGGCGTCGTGGAGGGATTGTCACCAAAGTGAAAAAGGTTGGAATTGCTTCGTGAGCTTCGGTCTGGGGTGGAGGGCGGACTGTCGTCCGGGACCTCAAATCGATTCGACATGGTTGAGGAGGATCTGAGGTGCAACCGGGGAGACTGGGGGAGCGCCTGCGCAGCGCGTTACGGGGTATTGATGTATGATCGCGCAGCTCAGTTATTGCATAGATGAATTGTGTCGTGGGCAAAGGCGATAGTCTCCTTTGTTGAAGGAACCTGGAAGGTGTTGGGGGTTTCGCTCGGTGGTGTTGGTCTGGACAATGGAGCTGTAGCGTTGGTGTGGAATTTGTCGACGCGACTTTTCTGCCACAGCTAGGCAAGCTCAACCTCGCGCCTAAGGAGAAACCCACCCAGCAACCACTCTTCTAAACCCCACGGCTTCACACCTTCCCAGGTTTTTAGGTACGTACCTATGAGCCTCACAATGATGCCATATATCCTTTCCCTTGGTGTCTTCTTTCTGTCTTATTATTATTCATCTCTACGCTCTTACCAGCCCGTTCATTACTTTCTTATGTTAAGTTGATCTCGTTTATTACCCTGGGCCCATTGAACCAATTATCTCATGAGGTAGTCGACTTCACAAGGCGTAGTTAGGCAGCTTAGGTACGAGGAAGTTTATATTTTACATAGTGCCACTATCTCCGATGCTATGAGGGGCTAGAAGATGAAGAGTCTAAGCTGGCCTGGTAGGTCATCCGTGTCATCGTCATCATCAACATCGCCGAGTACTTCGCACTCTTCTATCTACAATGCAGCTCCCTAAGATCTGCCACCTTCGCTTCGGATCACTCTGATTCCAGCGATGCCTCTATAGGAGCGTTTCAGCGAGTGTCTAAAGACCTGCCACGGTTCGAAAGAACCGCTCCTCCGCCCTCCTGGCATTGAGCCTCTGAGTTGGAAACCCTCTGGTCTCCCGTAAAGGATGTATGCAAGTCGCTGGATATGATACCATGCAGAACTTTTCCTAGCCTTAGTTTTCTCCCATTTTGATGATTTGTGTCCCCCTGACACAAGAATACTGGCCTCTTTTCAACCCCATCAGGTTCGAGCCTTTAGATCCGCTGGTAGAACAACAGGTACGCGACCTTGTTATCCTTGACGTTGTCCTTGATCGGCTTGCCCTTAGGTGTACTGGTGCCCGAAGAGCTACCATTCACCACACTGCTCCACTTCTTGCCACCGTTCGCTGTGGCGCTCACCTGTCGCCAACCATCCTCACTGTCACCATCATCATCTCCCATAGCAGCAAACCGATTGCCTGCCGCACCAGGAGCGACGGCACCTTCCTTCTTACTATTGTCTGCAAGCTTCGAGGCATCCTCTTCGGCACCACCCTCGGCGACATCCTCGCTACGCACGCGCCGAATGACGGTGTCGTCAAGGCGCACCCACTCACGACCGTCTTCCCGCCTGACGTCGACAGTGTAGTGCCCACCGCTCGCGTTCTTTCCATGATGATAAACAACCGCAGTAAGTTTATACTTGGGCAGACCGATGCCTTCTGCCAGAATGCTGTTCCGCTTCTGTCGAGAAAACACCTCTCCGGGGATTTCCAATTCTAAAGGATATCCGACCTTCTTCCAAATCTTGATGGTGCTATTGCCCTCTGCATCGAATTGGAATCGCTTCAGATGAAGGATCAAAACGGGTGGAAGGGACTCAATAAAGACCTGTTTCGTAGCCGTAACGTCCTTGCCACGAGGTGAATTGAAGTCGCCCCGTAGTGTTTCCGGACGAGTCAAGCCCTTCAAGGCATCAATGATATTGCGAACATTCTGTCCGCCAATGTCGAGTTGCAGTGGCTGATAAGGCTCCAGAGTGACGGAATCCTTGAGGCCCGGAACACGGAATTCAGATCGAAGTTGGCCACCAAAGATTTTAGTAACAGGAGAGGAGGTATGGGAATGTCCAGATGACCGAGTGATAGCAGACTTTTGGCGGCGGCCGACCTCAAGCCAATCATCAGCCACATCGCCACCTGCGTGAGACGCAGTGGGTGTTGGCAGTGAGGAACTTGGAGCGGTTGAAGCAGCGGAGCTAGGGGCAGCACGCATCACTTGCGCGCATTCATCATGAAGCCCTTCAAGGAGGAAACCAAGGAACTCCTCAGCATCTTGTTGATGTCCACGCTGAAAGAATTGTGTTAATGTTAATATCCTCTGAAAAGTGAGGTGACTTTATGTACTCACCCTCATGCTGGCAAAGCGAGGAAGTTTCCTGATGGCATCATACACGAATTCGGGTGTGAAAGGCTCTCCATACTGTTCAAGCTCTTCCAATTTCAGTCGCCGCCGCAGCTGGTCTACAGACACAGCGGAGTCAATGATCTTGAACTCATGCATGAACATGATCCTGTGTTCGCTTGTTAAAATCGTTCACCGGAGGGAACAGTGGCGTGAGTATTGTACTTACATGGCATCAACAAGTGGAGTTTCACTGTTGAAGCTATGAGCAGCCTTCTTGCTTGCTTGGTCCAAGAAGTCGTAGAAAGGGATGCAGAAAAGAAGAACCTGTAAAACCTGTCGAGAGAGTTAATACCAGATGCAGGCTCACGCAAGGTAAGAGATCATACCGAATTCATATAACACATATTACCAGTATTGACGAGACCTCTCGGCTCAAGAAAAGCGATCTTCTCGCTGCTACCAACACGGTACGCCCTCAAAGCTTCGGCTAGAGAGCTGGCATTTGTCTTCGCGAACCCGGGTTGACCCATGCTCTCGCTCCCAGCTCCGTCGATAAGAGTGGTACCATTGACGCCAGAGGCCATACTGCCAGGAACTGACTTCGCAGCTGCGCCTGCAAACAGTCCTGACCAAGTCTTCGGCCCAGACTTCACGGAGGGAGCCGCTGTCTTGTCTTCCTCTACGGATGTCCCGTTGGTGTCAGCGACGACGTCTACTTTTGCAGCGTCAGGAGCCTCGATTGCTGTCTTCTCTACGGTAGCCTTCTCCGCACCTGTAGTGCTTCTCGCTTCCCTTGGGCCGGTCTTGGGCAGCACCGGAAGAATCGGCACGGCAGGAATAGCTGCTCGGGACGAGGGTTTGGAAGACTTTGTCGGAGTGGGGGTACCAACTGTAGACGAGTGTGAGGGTTGAACGGAAACAGGGGTTGTAGGTGAAGTGGACGTCGCATATTCAGAAGGAACCTCCTGTGTTGAAGGGGTCTCAGAGCGTGGCAGAGGCGGCTCGATGACCGAAGCTGATGTGGGTGTTACTGTAGAAGCAGTGCCATCTACCTTATTGGAACCGACGTTGCTCAGACCAGCAGCAAAAGCCTGAGATTCTGCTTGTGCAGCAAGATCCGCGGTCGCTTCATGTTGACTGACAGGCAGCTCCACATCTTCAGCATCCGCTGCCAATAGCCGTCTTCGTCGCCGTGACTTCGTGGTTTTCGCGGGGAAAGGAACATCAGGCCGAGACAGCCACGGGAGCTAGTAGGCTTCGTTAATATACAAGGATGCTAAAGAAGACAGGGTAAAGCTCACAGGTGCTCTGAAAATTGCTCTGGGAGGAGGAGGAGACTGCAACTCCTGCGGCGGCGCTGGCTGAGGTGTCTGAACTGGTTCGGCTATCTGAGGTGTCGGCGGTGTCATGGGAGGTGGTACAGCTTGGGAAGAATGCGTAGATGATGGCGTCTGGGGAATCGAAGCTGGCGGAGGCGCAACACTGATGGGTGCCGGTACCGGCGGCGGTGGTTGATAGGGAGTCGAGATGATGGGCGACTGCGCCGGAGGCGGCCTGTTAAACGGCAACGGCTGGGCCATATTGCCTCCTACGACCATCGGAACATATTGCTGCTGCATTGTCGGAGGCGATCTTGGGTATCCTTGGTAGCCCATATAGCCACCCGGTGAAGGCATATTTCCGTTTGGGAACTGAGGCGGCATCGGGGGATAATACGCGTTGGGGTAAGGTTGCATGTAGGCGGCATACATCGACTGCTGGCTGGCAGGTTGATGATAGTGCGACTGGTACTGATGAGGCCTATTCCCTCGTCGCGGACCACCTCCACGAGGCCCTTGGCCCATATCGACAAGTGGTGGTGGACCTCCCCCCATGGCTGCTCGCCCAGCCGGCAGATGATTGTTCATCTTGCCGGCCTGGGAGTCACAAGTTTGCAGCGGCTGTCACTGCTGTGATGGCCACTGCAAGATATTGTTTGAAGCCTCGATGAGCTGATGGATCGTCGCGGATGGGGTGTATCGCGAGCTCAGAGCTCAGCTTGTATTGGTATTGTGATGCTGTGTGTCGTCGTCGTTGTCGCGCGGCACTGTGATGGTGCCGCTTGCAGACTAAGCTGCTTCTTGCGCGTGCGCGTGGGAACCTGGCCCTGTTAGCTCCTAACTCTTCTAAGAGCTTGACACAAAGACAGGCAGCTCAGATGGTCCATCCAGACACAAGGCGTCTTGATGAAGTGCGGTGTTGTGCCAATGAGATGGGCCGCGCAAGGAGGAAGGATGTAAGAAAGGACTCAGGCGAGGTTGAGCGTGCTCTGAGGTTCGGCTGCTTTCTGGCGCACTTTGGGGAAACAAAATTTAAGCCGATCTATTTTGGCGACTATGCTAGCAGTAGCCTAGAGGCGGTTTTGACTAATTACGGCTGTGAGGCATAATTAGCGTCGTCCAGCGCTTGGACCACAAGCTGGCCCTGCCGCTTGTTACATGGCTATGGGGGTGAATGAGGTCTGGAGCTTTCGATCATATCTGAGATATCTGTCTCAGGCCTTCACTTGACTGTTACTTTCCAGGAAATGCGCAAGAATGCTCCAGGCTTGTCTGTAAAATGCTGCCATGCAGATAATTGGGTATTTTGATTATTATTTTCTTGTCAATGATGAAGACAATCACCTAATTATTAACTGACTTTTTCCATCCTGCTACAGAGCGAAGACAGGATTATGCTATGCCGAGGTATACCCATGCTCCCACTAAAGATGCTCGTCTTGAATCGCCGGTTTACTGACTCTACTCGTCTTTGAAAAGCCATCGTCCATTGCCTCTCATAGCGTCTTTATATCTTTCCTCGACCAGGCGTTGTTCCTGCTTCGTTGCCTCTTCCCTCTCCTTTTGCTGCTCTTGTGTACTGGGAAAGTCGGTGTTCCAGAAACCGGGAGGTGACGATCTTCTCGTGTATCGCTCGCGGTGTTTGCCATGCTTATTCGCTAGTTCGCGCATCTTGGCTTCTAGCCACAGTTCCTCTTTTTCATCGCGTGACATACTTCCTAATCGGTAAGCATTGGCACCGAGATAGTCCTCCAGCAGCTTGATATCTTCTGATCTTGTCGTGACTGATGAACCGATGCCTTCTCGTTCAAGCATAGCTAAGGCACGGAAGGTCTTCCCGCAGCACTGAGGATCAACACAACCCATCAAATTTTGGCGTTCAGCTTTGTTACGGACAACCTCGGAAAAGGCAAAGTCGTGACCATCGTTGAATTTAGGGTTGACCTTGAAGTCCGTCAGAATAAGCTTTGCCAGAGGTAGCTGACGAAGGGATATCTTTTTGTTTGAGTGCATGAGAGAATCTCTTTCATTAGCATTCGATAGAGGAGTTGATGCTTTCTTCACAGCCCTCTTGGCACTTGTGAGTGAGCCGCCATTTGCCTGTGGAGTTGCTTGCTGAGGGGTCCCCAAAGTGCGAGGCTCTTTATTGCGAGAGAATGGAAGAGCACGAGGCTGAGGAGTTGTGAACTCGAGAGACGCAGATTGGAGCACTGATTGTCTCGGTCGAAGGGGCCGGTTGATAATCGGTCGTGTGTCCGGACTTGGTGTATTCAAGAGCGCATCTAAGCGACCTGATTTGGCCAAAATGCCTGGCGCTACATTCACATCACCTAGGCTATCCTCGTCTTCAGCGAGGTCCTTAACCCCCTGATCTAATAGTCTAAGCTGCCGATGCTTCTTGACATGATCTTCCTGGTCATAAATGCCCTTAGACTGATGATCCTCAGGTAAATAAAAGTCATTCGTAGTCGGCATATCCCTGATAGCATTCAAATGCATTTGGTGTCTCTTGGACGCCCGCATGTTGAGAAATGCTTCATCTTGAGCGTCTATAGCATGCCTGAGAGCGGTCTCAAGTTCGGAACGGCGCTTCTTCGGGGTTGAGTTATCATCACCAGCTTCGTCAAGATCAATGCTCTCGTGCGGAGAGAAATGTTGTAATGCTCCGAGTAAGACCGGATCTGAACTGCTGTGCTCACTTTTGGGTCGAACGTAATTGATACCATTTTCTGATTCAACAGCATCCCGTTTCCTCTTTCGGACTGGTCTTTCTGACACGAAAACCGGGCCATCTGATGATGACTCCTCTTTAATGATAATGCCAATCGATTTGGCTTGCTGAATCGTTCGCGCGGGTAGATCGCCATCCTCAGGATGACCGCCATTAGCAGAGTCCTGGCCCGGGATGTCTGTCTCATGGTCTGGTCGAGGGCCCGAAGGTGTAACGGGAATATTTGCTTTCGCCAAAGCTAAGCTACGATGATCTGTGTCTTGAGCAACATTTGCACCGAAACTCGAAATAGGACTCTGCACACCCGAAATAATTCCAGACTCAACCTGGTCTGTTAACATTGGCTTTGATGGGAGCTGCTGAATTGTGGCATCCGTTTTACCAATGATTTTCGGCGATTTTTGACGACCAACAGCCCCCGTCTCCTTCTCTAGTTTCTTGATCTTAGCCTCGAGCGAGTCGCAATAATTAGCCCATTGATTGCAGTCGTCCCTCCTCTTCTTCAGTGCAGCCCTTTCCTGGTCTCGGGCCTGGAGGACTGCCTTGTACTTAGCTGTAAGCTTTGCATAGTTCTGTTGGAGACGCAGGTGGGCCGAGGATTCTTTGGTGTCAGGACGAATAGTTGCAGCCCCAGAACCCATGACCTTGTTGGGAGACAGGTTGCCCAACGGCTGACGCTCAGTCACGCCCGTGACTGTGCCGTTCCCACCTGATGATAGACCATTGCGCTTGATAGAGTCGCGAAGCTGGGCGAGTTCCGCCTTCAGTGATGCATTCTCCTTCTCCAGACGACTTATAGTGCTGTTGCCGTCCGATACCTGTCTTTGCAGGCAAACTCCATCATCCTCCTTCTGCTTGAGTTCTGCCAAGCCCAATCAGTCCTTACAGTCCAGGTGCCACCTTCTGTGATACGCACCTGTGTTGAGATCTTGGTCAATCTGCCTGCAGACTGCTTCCAGGGCCTGAAAAAGGGCAGGGCGCCCCTTCTCAGACCAGCTCGTCATAGCTTCAACCCGGCCGTCCTACTTTCAGTCCATGGTTGAAAAGATCTGTGGTGGTGTTACAGGTAAATCATTGGATCATAGTGGCGGTCTACGACGCGTCTTGGTGCTGGAGAACGCGGTCAACCCTTAACAGCTCTAACAGGTCAGGTTCGCCTAATCACGATGCAGGTCACGTGCGCCAGCCCTCGAAAGTCAACATGAGGTGAGTCACTCCCACTCGAACCCCAATAGAATTATAATTGCCATGTCACAGGAGAAGGTCGAAGCAGTGTTACTCTATATACGCTTACGGATCGACTTCCCAAATTGTTGTTATAGAGTGACCTACCTCCCTAACCAAGCAAGCAATGTGTTGAGGAGATCCCATCAGGCCTGTGAAATAGAGAGTAACCAAACTTATCGTTAGCAGTATCCTATAGCCAGAATATCTCTTCTTAGAGTGTACAACGTACCTGGGTTAAAAAAAGTGGTGAAGCATCGCCCTCATCAGAATAATCGGAATTGAATGATGGCGCTCTCGAAAGAGCACCATGTCGCACATCGCACTCAAGTACTTTGGCACAAGCTTCGCAATGACTCTCCCATAGGTAGATGGATTGCTCCCATCTTCCCCTTGCGGGTATACATGGAAGCCTCCAAACCCTGCTTTTCTGATGCCAATTGCAAACGTCGTTGACGCCAGACCCTCACAGGCAGACCCGGCCGCCCACGGAATCGTGAGCGGCTTAAGGTATGGTTGAAGCATACTCCGAATTTCTCACATGCAGGTTATGAGAGACTGTGATGAGCAGTCTCTCCGTGTGTGGCATGGAAGCGCGACATTGATGAGGACGATGCTTGAGGAGCAGAAAGAACAGGCAGGACAAAAAATCGTCGCCAGCAGAATCATAAATACTGGGTGGCCCAAGCTCCTTGCTCCTCCCGCTCCAAGCTTGACAGGATCCACCCATATCACATGATTACCCGTGTGCCTTCCTCGATTAAAGAACTGGACTATTTGGCTTCAATTGGCAATACTAATTATTGATTTTGACCACGGATGGCTACAGACCATCATGAGGCCAGTTTGGCCATCTTTCGTCGAAGACCCTGGAGTGCGCGGGTCGGAGGAACGTAATATACCTACTCTTGGCGTTGATCTCAACGTCGCATTCGTGGATTTGCTTTGAAGACCCCTGTGTCACTCTCAGGCGCCCCTCGGCCGGCCCTGCATCTTCTCGGGGAAATCTAGCCGTGGCATTGCTCATCCGGCACAAGTTCAAAGCTGCACTGGTCCATTGTCGTCATTTTGTGCGAAATTCAACACACCAATATGCTCTGTAACGCTATTATCTGTACATCTGACCTACTTTGCCGGCACTCTGGTGGTATGCTGGTTGCGGAGGTGTGCAAGACGTTTACCTGTCATGATTGATTTGCAGAATGACCACAAGAGCAGACCTTTAGTCGCAGGAAAGCATGGCGTAGCCAATTACACGGCTCTTCAATGTACAGCAAAGACTATGACCACCTACGTTTGATCGATGGCAAAGGTGATCTCGACCAGGTAGCGATATGACAGCGACGGTTCTCTTACACTTGCTTGCAAGCCAACTCTCATTTCCCGTTCGGAATGCTGTCTTCCGGCACGGGAGATGTCTAGGGGAGATTATCGTTATGGACGCTTGCGGATGGCCAAAGTCACAGATATTTGTGCAACAAGACAATGGAGCATAGTAAAGTAAGGTGGTTGCTAAT